CCTTCAGGCTTAGAGGGAACATGTTCTGCCCGGTGGTGTAGGGTCCTAATTACTCCAAGTTTGTGTTCCAAATTTGAACTCATAAATAACTACACAAAACAAATATTAGAGAAACCATCTCATGTTTCCTGTGTCTGAAGGGAAAAACCAAACTTTGGCTGACGTAGTTTTGAATCACCAAAGTTCATACATGGCTGCTACAACAGTTTACCTTCCTTTGTAAACTCAGCGGCTCTGCTGCCGGGACACTTATCCATGTTTCTGATTGGTCAGATACTGCCAGACCCGCCCCTTTCACATGAGCTGACAAACCCTGAGTTAACCTCATGAGGCGACAACCAGCTTTGTGTAACAGCTGACTGCTGCTGTTTGGGTAAGTGATGCTGATGATGAAAGATAACAACTGTAAACCGTCATAACTCACTTTGATTGTCTAACACACTTTTCTCAGGCTTCTGTATGAAATCTGTGTTTTTATATCACTGGAAACTGAACTTGAGTATTTTTAAAGCATTTTAAAGCTTCTTTTTAAAATTTGTGATTTAGATGAAACTGCCTGGACTTGACTTGAAGTAACAACTATGATGACCAGTAACAGTTTAACATTAACAAACACTGAAGAACCAACAGCAGTCATGACTGAAACACTTTCACCACCAGAGCCAGGAAGTAACAAAGTACAAATACTCTGTTACTGTATGTAAGTGGATTTTTTTGGTATGTCTACATTTACCTCTTTAAAAAACAGACTCGTTACTTTCGGTACGTCAGCGTCGAGCTCGCCCTGCGGAAGAGGAGCGAGCATAAAGGGAGAAACATGTTGTGTCAGGTCATTTAAAATGCAGCCTTTCTATCAGCTCAACAAACTGTTTGTGTGCAGTTTGTCTCACAGTGTGTTGCAGCCAAAGGTCCAGCTGCTGATTTCACAGGAAGAGAAAAGTGTTTGTACAGAAATATTTACTGCTTCAAACTGGAGCAACACACAGAATAAAAGAGAAAGATTAAAGTAACTGATACTGGTGTGAACATTTGGATCAAACAGCCAATAAAAACTAAACCTGTCAACTTCATCGTGAAGCAAAACACAGTCCAGTCCAAATCCCACCAGCTGCAGGTGCATGAAGCAAAGTGAACTAACTGCAGAACTACAGTTTCAACATCAACCTGCAGATGCTCCATGATGGATGTTCTTAAAAAGAGTCCGGACTTCAGAGTAAAAGCTACTAAAAGGACAAAGACGTGAAACTGATGCTGTTTGTCTTTGGCTCATTAGGTCGGCCGGGAAGTTGAAATCGCTTTGATAACAAGTGAAAGGTACAGTTTAACGTACTTTTAATAATAGATTCTTCTTTATATAAGATCAGCTGTGTGAATTCAGCTGAAAACCTTCTTTGTTCCCCTTCATCACATGATAACGTCCAGAAGCCTTCAGAGCTCACACACTGCTTCTCATTGAAAACAGTTGGTGGGTGCGGTTAGTTTGCCGCTGCTCTGGCTCCTTGAATGCTCGTGTCCTCTTTCACTTTCCTGCATTAACGTCTGACCCTCCTCCACATTACATCCTGCCTCGCCCTTCCTCTGCTTCCTGAAGTATGAAAGTCCTGCTGTCCACACACAGACGACTGACTGAATGTTCTGTTTGGAAAAGGTTCAAACTGCTGCAGATTTCTGAAAACCTTTGAAGTTTTCAGGTAAGA